TGCAGGTGGGGAAAGGTAGGGGGTGAGGGTAAGGGCGAGGGTCCTGGTTTCTGGCATGGGAGAATTCGAAGATGGGGATGAGGGAGTGGGAGGGTGGATGGTGCACACCCTCATAGAAGTAGCAGGAGAGGGGACGGGACAAAAGGTTTCTGGGGGGAGTGGGGAAAGATTGAAATGGGAGATATTTAGAAAACGGCGCCTGGTCCGGCTTGTTCCTGGGCAGCTGCCATGTTCCCGCTGCTCTGGGTCTGACCATGGCTCCAGCTAGCTAGAGGCATTGGCCCTGGCATCCATGAGACACTAGTGTGGTGGATGACTCTGCCAATCCGCCAGGCTGCCGCCACAAATTTCGGCTGAGCCCCAGACAATACCCGCCATTCTCGTGGTACCTGATAGAATGAAGACTCTTAAAGATTATCTAATGGATTTATATATTTGGAAATGCTCAATTAACAAGATGCCCACATAATTAAAATAGTTACCCAATATCTAACCTTTGAAATATGTTGCTACCCAGGACTGCTCTCGACCCATCAGTCCTTCTCCATGGTTGCTAGCCTCCCTCCTCTTTCTCCTCCTCTTTTTCCTCCTTTCCTTCTCATTCCCACTCCTTGCTCCTTCCACTCTTAGCTCCTCCCCAGTTACTGAGCTTTATTGCAAATATAATGTAGTAGAAAATTATCTTGCTGCAAAAGGGGATAACATCTGAAATGTAAATAAATAAAATATCCATATTTTTAAAAAGAAAGAGCAATAGATGTTTACACTGACCAAAATACATTACCTAACTGTATGAAGTTGTCATAGAAGAAAAATAAATAGATGGTAAAATTAAGGCTAGTTTCTGTTACATAATGAAGCCCCATTTCAAAATATTTTCTCTACTTGCTTCTGTTATATAAAAGTGTAACTGCCTTTTAATTATTAAAATAAACAAAATTGAAAAAATATTAATATGTATACATATGTAAATACGTATAAGTATATAAACATACATTAGTATGTATATACAAATATACAAGCATATAAACATAAACATATACATATAATATATACATATACACACACATATATACATACATGCATACATACATATGCCTCTTGTCTCAAGGCAAAAGGGGAAACTCAGTATCTCAGGTCAATGTTTCAAAGTTTTGAACATTAAGGTCAAATGTGAATATGATAGTTTTAGATTCTGGTTTCAGACAGCTATTCAGTGAACTGTTTATGTAACTCTTATCATTTAAATAAAGTCTTAAAGGAAAAATCAGACTCCTGGGGCTTTTTTTTTGTTTTTTTTTTGTTTTTTGTTTTTTCGAGACAGGGTTTCTCTGTGTAGCCCGGCTGTCCTCGAACTCACTCTGTAGACCAGGCTGGCCTCGAACTCAGAAATCCACCTGCCTCTGCCTCCCAAGTGCTGGGATTAAAGGCATGTGCCACCACTGCCCAGCTCCTGGGGCTTTTATAATAATAATTTCTACCTTCATATCATTTCTACGTTTCTTATACTGGCCGTGGAGATTATTTTCAGTTTCTTATTCACAGCTCAGGATATGGTTTTATCTAGCTCAATAGCTTACCTTTCCTCTCCAACAATGGACAGCATCTCTGTTTTTTTGGATTCTTCATCTGGGAGAGATGCAGTGACTAATGGAATCAGTTCCATTTTGTTTTGCATTCGCATCTGCCATATAGATTCTAATTAGCTAATTTTTCTCACATTATAATCACCAAGTTAGTGACATAATTGTTTGATCATGCAAGCTTAAGATCCCTTGGGGAATAGAATATACACTTTTGATCTCTAAGCTGCATTTCATCTCTTCATACACAGTGAGCCGAGCCAAGGATGCACTTCAAAGAAAGTTTAAAAATAATCAAGGAAACCGAAATATGAGTTTTGAACTTGCATTCTATGTAATTTTAGTCACCCTTGAAACTTTTCTGGCTCTTACTGTTCAGTTATAAAATAATGCTCTTGTGTTACATTCACAATAGTCAATTCAGAATCAGGAAGAACCGTATAATCACCTCATGTTTGTTTCCAAGCTGTGTCTGTTCCTACCTTCAATCAAGATTCTCATCTTTCCTCCTTAACGGTCACATGTACACCATTCACATCACCATCTGCACGATGACAGACGCATCTGGGAAGGTTTATAGAGAAGAGTACTCACATGTTGGGAACCAATTAAATGACTATGATCCTCGTAAAAACTTTAGACATCGTTAAGAGGTCAGCTCTCCTAGTTACGTTTCTAGTCTTTTGTTACTAAGTCAAGTACCTGAGATAATCACCTTATATGGAGAAAAGGTTTAGTGTGGCCCAGAGCTTAGAGTTTGATTCCATAATTGCTGGGGCCCATTTTTTAAGACCTATGGTGGGACAGCATGGAAGGAGGACACTGATGCTCACCTAATGAGCAGAATGCAAAAGACGGAAAAGAGGAAAAGACTGGGATTCCATGATTGCCCTTTTAGGTTGTACCCCAAAGATCTAAAATCTTTCCATTATCTGCTTACTTGTAGTAACTTCTAGTTCCAGCATGAGATGAAGACCAAGCCATTAGCTCATGGACTTTGGGGAGATAGTTACTCAAATCATAGAACCATATGTAATAAAAAGTTACTGTTTATTTTTTAAAAATTGAAGGTGTTTGATATTTTACCATTAGGAAACGCCAGATGGTTAAGGATATAGGCTTACTCTGCTTTGAACATTACTCCATGTAAGCAGGTATTGAAAGATACGGCACCTCATAAATAAGCCAACTGCATTAGAACATGGGCATTTTATACCACTAGGTTGTGTAGATTCTGGACTTAGAGGCGTTCTTCCTGGGGTCATAATTAACAGAACTTAAAGAAGCAGATGTGACATTTTTCAAGACTATTTGATTCAAATAGTCACCGTTGCACTCACTGGCAGGGTCCTGTCTTACCCACTTTAACAAAGGTCCCAGGCACTGTGCTGTCTTGTTCCATGTCCATTAGGTTGAGAAAACAGAAGTTCTTCCTATAATAAACACAATATGCCCAGTCTCGTGACATAAAGAAGGAACTCAGTGGGGATATAATTTTATGAGACTTTAGTTTTAGAATTTTGATTTTATTTCCCTGGTTGACCCTGTGTTCAAGGTTCTTCCTTTCCCTATCTTCTCAGTGCTATAGATTCAAATGATTTTGAAAATTGTAATGCTTATTCCCCTTTAACCTCCCCATACCCCCCCATCACTAACCCCATGGGCTTGAGAAGATTCTATTGTCATTCATTAGTGTAACTTGTGGTACTTCCCAGACTCAATTAATCTCATCAGAACAACTGTGCTTTCTGTATTACACCTACCTTAAAGGCATTATTAAAAATATAGGTACCTTTCTATTTGTGTGCTTGCTATAAGCATAGGTCTATTACAGTATTATATCAAGGGAGCTTACAGTTTAAGTTATATTTTAAAATATAATATAACATTATTATACCTAATATTAAATTATATAATGTCAATACTTAGTATAATATTAATAATAAATAATATGACATGCAACTGCCATAATAATTTTCTTTTCTTTTTGGAAGATGTAAATAAATCTAAAAGACATAGTTTAAACTTATTTCTGAAAGAAATAATGCAAGTGTCATGTGTATACACAGGAATGAAAGCATTTGTGTGTCTACTTCATTAATCATAGTCAACACCTTCATAACTATATGACTCAGGAAAACTAAAGCTAGGTATCATTGCATAGCATATGGCTTATTTATGGATATATATGGAAACATATAGTATGCATATATGTGCACATATAAACATGCACACCCAAGATCAATAAAGCATTTCCTCTGACTCACGTTTAAATTCATGAACAAAAATCAGTTTTGTAGACAATATAAAAACCTATAACATTCTCAAAAAATTTATAAAACATTATTGGTATATTTTCAAAAGCACACTCATGAAGACCAGAAATGACTCAGAAAAATATCTTGTTGACAGTATAGAAGCTAAACTAAACAGAAAAGGATTATCATCTTTTTAAGTCATCTTTACACATGCTTTTTACTTCAAACATCAGTTGAAAGGCACTGTGTGTAGGATTAATTGTGTGTTACCTCCACAGGGAAATCTCGCCCTCGCAAACCCCTCCAGCTGGTGGTGGGTACGTTGACACCGAGCTCTGTCTTCCTGTCCTGGGGGTTCCTCATCAACCCACACCACGACTGGACGTTGCCGAGTCACTGTCCCAATGACAGGTAAGTCCCCATATTGGAAATTACTTTTCATTGCTTTTGATGTAGTTACATGTGCTTAGGAAAACTTTGGACCCTTAGCATTTACTTATCACCTATTAGCTACATAGTGGTCTAGGTATGAGGTATGCATTAATATCTAAGACAGGGACCCTGCCATTGACAGCACTGAGATCTATCAGAGTAGAAAATATATGGATATGTTTACCAGCAAATGAGCCAACACAAGGGGAAGGAGCAAATACCAAATGGGCAGTATCATGCAAAAAGCATAGAGGAGTGGCCTAAGGAACTAAAGAGTTATATGTATATGGTGGATATATATGTATATGGTGTATTTATGTATGCATACATAAATATATATGTATGTATGTATAGTGATATGTTTTACATATATATATACATATATATGTACAATGTGTGTATGTATGTATGTATGTGCATCCTTTCAAATAATCTAAAATATTCCTTACTTCACTAGTAAGCCTATGACTTATTTTGCTTGGTTGGTTCTTGAAAGTACTTATATTTTTATAATAATCCCAGTTGTTAGTGTATGCCAATGCTCAAAAAATAAATATATAGAGATAGGGCTCTACTTTGTAACTCGGGCTGACCTTGATCTACCTGACTCCACCTCCCAAGTTGGATTGTCGATATGAAATTTGAAGAATGTTTGAAGCAGTAGGCCTTGAAGTCTGGCCTCAATCTAGCTGCATCACTATTGCCATCATTGCCATCATTGCCATCATTGAAGTCTGGCCTCAATCTAGCTGCATCACTATTGCCATCATTGGGGAACAGGTAACATAGGAATTGAAGGTCCTCTCCCCCAAGACTTTATCGGATCAGAAATTCTGAGTGTGGGCTAAACCATCTGTGTTTCAAAAAGAGTTCCAAATGATTCTGATATCTACTGGTGTTGAAGAAGACTGGCTTAGGAAGCTGGATGTGCACACACACGGGAGAATTAAGCAGAGGTGAAGTGAGTGCTTTTTTTGGCAAAAGAAATGAAGACAGTTACATTTTTATATCACTGCAAATCATTTGTCCTTACACCCAACACACTGTTTAGATCTGTCTGGAAATAAGCAATGTGTTAAACACTGAGCCATGATCCCAAGTAGCTTATATGTAGTATTTGCTTTTCATAAATATTTACTACATAAGTAGCCAAATCCAAAAGTTTTGGCTGTATGTGTTTGCAAAATTTTCAAGGTTCAAGACTCTTAAAAAGACTTTTTTGGTTCTTATTTTAAGTATACTAGAAATTATTTCAAATTTTGAGAAAAATCTGCATTTCTACTTTAAAGTTAAAAAGCGAGGTATAATTTAAACAGTAAAATCTATAAAACGTATACAGTTCAAGTTATAAATATATGACATTATATATTTGATAACATTAAGAAATAGAATACAGTTTCTAGTCTCTGCACCTTGGGCAACTGTGGGTCTCTGTGTTAATCACCATCTACTGCAAATAGATGTTTCTCTGATGAGGGTTGAGAGATGCCCTAATCTATAGGTATAAAGGCTAGTCAGGAGTCTGTTTAATACTATGTTCATGTATCAGCCTATTAGGTTCTTGCTGAGGGCCTATAACCTATTCAGCTCAAGGTTCGTGGCCCAGTGATGGTGCCAGGTATGGGTTTCATCTTGTGGCATGAGACCTAAATCCACCAGAATGTGATTGGTTACTCCCATGATGTTCATTTCACAGCTGCACTTGTGAGCATGTCTTGCAAGGCCAATCATTACTGTAACCCTCAGGGATCACAGTTAGGCAAGATAGTGATGATTTTCTCCTCTGGTAGCATGCATAGCACCTTCAAACAACATGAAAGTAAGCCAGTAGGTAAGAAGGAAACTTTCAGGTGAAGCCCAGCTTGACTTCTCCATGTTCTATGACTTCAGCAATAGGGTCTTGTTGTCGAGTTCTGGGAGGTAACAAAGAGCAGTAGCAATGTTTGGAGGTCTATGAAAGCTCATTGGCCTACATCCAAACATTGAGAAACATTGATAACCTTTCCTTGCCGTGGGATTTTTTAATATATTAGTCTGTAATATCTAGTAACAATATCGAGCTATTGGAAGGAAGTGAGGGTGGTTTTAGTTGGGGCCGGGGATAAAACGGTCAAAACATATAGTAGGCAATTCTCAAAAGAACTAATTTAAAAAGGAGAAAATAAATAAACAAAATTCTAGAAAGTACCCTCCCCTAGAAACATCCTCTGATTGAATTTTCAGTCACTATGGATTAGTTTTGCTTCCTCTAGAAACCTGTATAAATGGAATAACATTGTAAGGGAAGGTTGGGCTGTCTTCATTATTCCAGCATGCTTTTGAATTGCATTTCTAACGTTGCATGTGTCAAAGTCTATTACTTTTTATATTCCTGAGTAGCATTCCATTATGGGAATATCCTAGTTCATTGTATATTCTTCTGATGGTGGGTACAAGAATCATGTTGATAGGACTGGAGAGATAGGTCAGAGGTTAAGAGCACTGGCTGTTCTTCCAGAGGACCAAGTTTTAACTCCCAGTAACCACATGACATTCTCAACCATCTTAACTCCAGTTCTAGAAGATCTGGTACCTTTTTGGGCCTCCAAGGGCACTGAATAAACATGATACACATACGTGCATGCAGGCAAAATATCAATACATGTAAAATAAAAATTAAAAAAGTGTTGATGATTTAATGACTGTAGCACACATTTTTATACATGGCTTTGAGTATATGAGTTAATTTCTCTCAGAAGAAAGTACCTCAAATTGGAATTGCTGCATTGCAGAAATGTTTGTAGGATGACTTCATCTGTGTGTGCTGTAAATCCTCTTCAGTATTGTGTGTTACGGCATTTTCCACCATTGCTCTCCTGAAGTAGTGTTGACCCATGAATTACTTTCAACCTTCAAGTCCCTCGCTCTACGGATAGCTGAGCACATCGTGTGAGCTTTCGCGCTGTGTGATTATTTTTGTAGGGTTCTATTCTTGTCTAAACTATGCTTGAAATGAAATGCCTTTTAAAGTCGTTGCAAGTTCCCCAAAAGAACCTTTTAAATTACTTTGATTAGGGAATCTAAATGGAAAAGAAATCAAATCAAAATTTCCTTCTGATGCCCGTGGTCCACAAGGGATAAAATAGCATGTGGATGATGATTTCCAAAACTGTTTCTCAAAAAAAAGTCATTTTAAAATGTTTCAAAGAATCTAAAGTATTCCTTATTTTACCCACCACTAAGCTTGAGACTTATTTGACTTGGAAAATACACTCTTGAAAGTGCATATTTGTCTTACAATAATTCCAGTTTTTAGAAGAGTAGTCTAGTATGCCAACACTGAGAAAATAATGTGTGGGTTGGTTTTTCCCTTTTAAAAAACTCCTCTTAAAAAAAGAAGAAGAATGAGGGAGAGAAGAAGAAGGAAAGCAATTTGATATTCTTACAATAAAATGCAATTTGGTTTTAATGGTTGCTCGGCTCACTTGATGGATCCTTGAAATGACATGCTCCACCAAGGTCCGTAGCAGCCAGGGGAATTCTTGGAGCATGTGGAGCAAGTATCCTCTAGTATCTTGTGACTTTCCTTCATTTATGTTTTGATAATACTAACTTATCCATGAAGAATTTATCTATACTTGGTTCTGATGGACAAAGGTTGCCACAGTTGGCAGCAAAGATGGACAAAGAATTTAGAGAAGGTTGGTATAGCAAGTAGCTGACCATCTTTTTACAGGTCATGGACTCTTAAAAACTCATCTACTTCAGACCTTAAATACATCTCACCATTCCTCTGGCTCACCAATTCTGGCCCTGCCCTTGTCATTAAATAAAAGTAGCCATGTATACCAAATCACAGTATTCAAAATTCTGCATTGAGTAAATTCAAAAGATTCCAGTATCATGTTAAAAATAATTGCATCTTTACAAATCTGAGTTGGCAAAATAGGCACCTGTTAGGATATGACTAGGAGAAGAATTATAGAATCATGGGTGAAAAGGAATATTTTAAGTACTTGTGGATTCTGCTTCCCCAGACCTCTTTGCTCCCAGGTCAGCACAGTTGATAGTGAGCTGACATTCTAAAGCCTTTGCCATGTTTCAGAAAAACAAGTAGTGCTTGTTTAAAAGCACTAGAAATACTGTACACACTATAAACACCCAAATGCCTCTACCAGAGCTGCAAATAATTAGAAACAGACTTAGAGATGTCTATTCTCATATATTTATGCTACATTTTATGAGATTAGACCAGTCTACTAGGTTAGAATAAGCAATAACAGCTTAAGGGGATGATAATGTCTTGAAAATTAGAAGACTAATATAGCTAAGATTTTCTTTCAGCCGTATCTTCTTAAAGATTGCTTTAAGTCCTTCTGTAAGAAATGATTTATAAAAACATTTAACATTGGTTTCTAGAAATCTCATTATCTAATGCAGAGAATGTATCAGGGAAGTTGTTTCCTTATGTGTTGATTTTGGGCTTTCCATAGCAAAGCTCTGACTTAGTAAGTTTCCAAGAAGGAAGCCTTGCATTCTGCTTTCAGCTTGTACATGTTCATGGGCTCTCATTTGTATTCCTGCTTACATGCAGCCTGTCTGAGTCTCCCGTGATTTTGGATACTTTTCATAGTTCATGCTGAAAAGTTTTTGTGTTTCATTTTTGACTTTGTACTCAGCAGTTTTCAATGGAAGAAAGTAACATTTGTCCTGAATTTAAGACCAAAAGAGAACTTTCCAAGCTGATGTAGAGGAAGTAATAAGATTGCTTATTTTTCTTTTATCTGAAATTTGTTTTAACATTGATTTTTCCTTTGTCTTCCACATTCTTCCAGCTTGCCAAAACTTTCAAGATTGCTTCATCAGCACTTTGCCAGCTTATGAGAGATTTATAATTTACTCACTTGTCTAAAATTTTTATACTTTGGTTGCTTATTAGTATAATATTAGAGTTCTCTCTTGATCATTCAGGAGTGATATCAACTTTTATTATTGTGATT